AAAAGCCTGCTGTTACAGATTGTGTTAATAAAGAAGTTGATCTTGGACCTTGCTTGCAGAACGAGATTGGTATTAAAAAGAAAATGCCCAAAGGTACCTATTTATGATCGAAAGCCTGTAGAAATAGAGGATGAAATTGTTGAATCCAATGTGTCTGAAAAAGACAAACATGAGGCCTTTGCTAATTACTAGGAACCACGTGAGACTGGCTTTACTAAGGAAATATATGACATTGGCTGTTGTTATCAATATAAAATTGATATTGAAAAAGACGAAAATAATATGTTTGAATAGGACTTAAAATCAGCTAACGAAGGCAATTCAAAGGGACAGAATAACCTTGGAATTGGCCAAGAAAATAGAATTGAAGTTAAAAAAGACAACTCCAAAGTGTCTAAACAATATTGGGAAAGCGCTAAAAATATTAAAGAACAATTTGACCTGGGTGGATGTTGCTCTCAGATTGGAATCATAGCTAACAAAGATAAAAAAATAACAAACTCTAGTAAATGAGAACAATAGAAAGGTCAACATCTTTTAGTAGAAAGATCAGATAAAGCATGCAAATTCTGGAATAGAAGGGTCAACAAGTTTAGAAAGATGATCAAAAATAAACTGAACATAATAAGGAACCCATGCCTGATTAATCCTAGAGACCCCCGCCATCTGCCGATACAGGTAATATTCTTGGCACTTTTTATCAAAATAGAATTGGCTTCGAAAAAGAAAGATATAAGGTATTTACCTATTATTAGAAGTATGATAAGATAGAAGGAACGAATAATGAAATGGCGTATGAAGATGATTGAGAAATGTTAGTAGGCGACGATGAAGTATTTGAAGAAGACTTGGATTTGTTTTACGATATTTACCAACACATAACTTTCATAATAGAATTTTCTATATTTGAAGGGTTGGATACATGTTAAATTTAATAAATCGGGTGTATATTGGCTCATTTCGTATACTAAGATAGCTTAGATCGAGCCTAACCAAAGATAGTAAGAGCAAGAAAATCATCAAGTCACGAAAGTTTGACTTATCAAACTTCTTTGACTTCTGTAACTTATCGAACTTCGTGAACTTATCGAACTAAGTGAATTAGGTAAATAAGTTTGATTTGTAATAGTAATATAAAAGCTATAAAAGAGATAACTTTAGTACTGTAATAAAGCAACTAGCTAGCTATCTAGCTCTAGAAAGTTTCAAGTTAAAGAAATAAGAGTATTTAACTTGTGATTAGTAAGTTCTTTAAGTAGAAGTGTTTGTTCTACTAACCTCTCTGATAAGTAAAATCTGTAATAACAATTAGAATTTGTAACCAAATTCTGTAACTCTGTGTAAAAAGATTCGTGATATAATCAAGAGCTCTAATCTGACACTATCGCTAAGAACCCAATTCATCCTAGTTACTTAGACCAAGTCTTTCCATGCCTCAATTATTGCCTTACCAATATTAGGGCTTGGTTGTATTAGTTGTAGTGTTTTGGTTAGAGTAGTTTAGTTAGTTTGTATTAGTGTTAAAGTATATTCTTGTATTGAAGAGCGGAAAGTGCTTTTTACAGCGTACTGCTTCATTATATACTTCCAAATCTTTATATAGTTCTGAACTACTTACTTTAGATAACCCTGAAAATCTTACTTCACCACTAGATAGTTTCATTTATTTGGATTCTTCTAATATTAATTTTTCTCAAAATACTAAAAAATACAAGTCAGTTTTTGCTATATCTAATAAAAAACCCAAACCCAGAAAAAGTTGAATATGGAAACATATGAAAAAAGATAAATTTGTAAAAAAAAAAACAAAATGCTTAGTTTTAGTTAAAAAAGTTGAAAAAATAGAACCATGCGAAGAAACTTTTGCATTTCTTACTAGTACTAGTACACTCAGAGCTCATATATATATAGTATATCATTTGTTAGAAAAAGGTTCGTTATTGCCATTGTCAGGCATATCTAAATAGCCAGTTTTCAAAAAATCTATTCATGTAGCTCAAAACAATCCCACACAACCCACATTATTAGATATAATAACAAAACCATCATCATTATCTTCTAAAAAAAAGAATAGATTAATATCTAGATTTTTGGCATGGTTGATTGATGATATGCTGGTATTTAATATAATGAAAAATTATAAATTTCACGATTTTGTATATGAGGCTGAACCCTGCTATCAAATTTCATGCCAAGATACATTAAAAAAAAAAATTCATGATACAGTTAACTTTGGAGAAAATAAAATACTTGACCTTTTTCAAACAACTATAAATACATTTTTATTTACAATTGATCTTTGGACCAGTGCATATAAACTATATATTAGAATCACAGCCCATTGGCTTGATTCCAATTTTCATTTAAATCAAATACTTATAACTATTAAAGAATTTCCTTATCCTCACACTAGCGAACACATCAAAGATTGTTTGAGACATGAGTTTGCCAAATGGAATATCTTAGAAAAATGCATTGCTGAAACAACAGACAATACTTCATCGATAGTTAAAGCAATGACTAATCTTGGTGTAATTCATATTCGTTGCATAGTGCACACTCTTCAACTTTTAATTACTGATTTTTTAAAATCTAGTGAAGTAACAAGATTAATCAATAAAGCAAAAAAATTAAACAGTTTTTTAGTTAATAAAGATAAATACAGAGAAATGCTAAAAAATACACAAGAAGAAATAAATAAAAAAAATAATCATGCTACAAGTCGTGGACAACTTTTAGAACCAATAGCCACAATATCTTCCATGTATTTGAATTCTGTATTTGTGCTGTTAGAGCATCTGTTATTGCTCTATGAATCAATCCAATTACTTGTTAAAAAAATGGTTCAAAATGCTGATCGAGAAATTTGTAAAGATAGAAAAAAATTAGAGGCTTTATTGTTAAATAAAGAAGAATTATTAGGTCTTAAAGAACTTATTAGTTTATTAGAACTCTTTGTTTGTGTAACATGTCTAATAGGTGGTAATACATATCCTATATTCTCTCTTATATTTCCAACAATTGCAACCCTTCAAGAATACTTGTTTAAACTAGAAAAAATCCTTACCCATCAAGTTATTCATGATATTAGGGATGAAATCGAGCTTAATATAGCTGACTGATAGGAAGATCTAAAAATAGAAGGATATTTAGCTGCAATCTTGGATCCTCATTTTAAAAATCTAAAATTTGCCCCAGAAAATTTCAAAGAAACAAAACAATACCTCAAGCAAAAAATGATAGCATTAGATGAAAATGAATATTTAGAGGAACAACCAACAGTGAAATATTTTCAAATTTAGCATCTTTTTTTAACAATACTGCTATTATCAAAAAATTCTCTCCAATCGATGCAGAATTGAAAACATATTTTGATATCCCTCAAATGGCACTATATGATCCTAACAATTTGGAATATAAAACTAAAAACCTACTTTCGTGGTGGCAATTATACTCAAAAATATTATCCTTACTTGCACAACTAGCCTGTCAGTATCTTTCAATCCCTGCAACCTCTGTTTCTTCTGAATATTTATTTTTAACAGCCAAAAATGTATTAACTGATAAAAGAAATAGGTTACTTCCTAAAACTGTTTATGATCTGGTTTTTTTAAAAGAAAATAATAAGAATTTCAATATTTATCCAGATTTTGAATAGGTATATCTAAATAAGCTTCAGTACAGATTAGTGTTCCAAATCAAAAATCGATTAATCGATTAGTTGATTGATTAATCGATTAATCGATTGATAATTTTATTAGACAACTAATCGATTGTAAACGATTAATCGATTAACTGATTAATCGATTGGTTAGTTAATCGATTAGTTGACTAATCGACTAGTTGTTTTTATACGGTATCATACTTCGATCTTGTAATTAGTAGCTACACAATTAATTAGTCAATTTAATTGATTAGTAGACTAATCGATTAATCGATTAATCGATTAGTTGACTAATCGATTAATCGATTAATCGATAGTTGACTATAATCGATTTTTAATCGATTTTTAAAAAAAATTTTGGTTAATTAATCGATTGCATTTTTTGGTCCGATTTGGATCACTAGTACAGATGAAATAATAAATATATTCATAGTTTATAATAGATCTATATTTTCAAACACTAAGTACATGTTTTAAATAAAAGTATTAAGATCAAATGTTAGACTTATTACAGTGCCCATTACAGTTAACTTTGCTAAATACAATATTTCATTTAAAACCTTGAAATATAAAGTTATATATTTTACAACTTATCATTATGTTTCAGGATCGAGTTAAAAGTTTGTGCATTTACACGTGCAAAAAAAATATATATTCATACATACTCTTGCATGTGTAGATTCTAGTTTAATGAAGTATCGGTGTATCACTTAAACTTTGATTGGTGATATATTCATGTAATATTAAAATCGACTTTTGGTTAAAAACTGAAATTTATAATCAACTTGAGTCGACTTAGTCAAGTCGATTTTTTAGAATTGACTTGATTCACTAAGTACTAGATAGCAAAAAATATTTATTTTTTTTAAAAACACCAAATTTGATTAATTTTGGTTGGTTAATTTGTGTATAATTAATTTTTTTATATAAAATAAATATGTTCTGTTTATATTTTATTAGTATATAAGTAAATTTTACTATTAAGCTAAATGTGGAGAGATTTCTTCTAAAACTTTTTTTTTACTAAGTAAATCACTCTTGGGCTTCTAACAAAAGTTGTAGAGCTCATCAAGACGCATCTAATGGTTGTGAGAACGCTAAAATCGGCCTGGTAGTTCTTGAGAAATCTTTAAAAAACGTTTTGCCGACATATAAAATTTCTTTAAAAAAAATCAATTTTTTTTAAAGAAATTTTATATGTCGGCGAAACGTTTTTAAAGATTTCTCAAGAACCACCAGGCCGATTTTAGTATTCTCACAACCATTAGATGCTTCTTGATGAGCTCTACAACTTTTGTTAGAAGCCCAAGAGTGATTTACTTAGTAATAAAAAGGTTTTCTTTACATTTCTTTAAAAAATCTCCACATTTACTATTTGAAGATTTTATATATAATTTATATATAAATCTTG